AAGAAAGGTTAAATTTAATTTTTGATCATTGTCATTTTTCCTCTGTTTCCTGAAACATCCATGACGCTTCATTTAATTTTCGCCACCTGAACGCTTTCTTTTTATATATGCAAAATCCTGCAACTCTTTGATAACTCTCTCAAAGCTACTTGAATGCTTTGTTTAAAACGTACAAAATTTGTTATTTTCAAGCTTTCCGTGGAAGCGAAAAATCGGCCATAACAGGCTTCCTGAAAGTTTTCTATAGCTAGTTATCTACTGTCTCACAATTCTCTAATGGTTATCTCAATACTTCAAAACAACTTTTTGTTCAGCTTAACATAGCGTAGGATTTTCGACTGGGTAATTTTAAAAATTATCGATGGCTTTGCAGAATGTGATTATTTCACAAAAAAAACTTAAAAACTTCCTTCACGAATTTCTCACCAAAAACAGACACAAAAATGTAATAAAAAATTTAAAAAGGAATAAAACACCCTTTTATTGAATTGAAAATAATTTTTGTTCATTTGATAGACAGTCTCAACCCTGTAGAATGCAGAAAGCTGTTACTGAAGTAAACAGGAATAATATAGGTGCGTACAACGATGGGTACTCATCTTTGCTTCGATAGCGCGGGTGCACCGCCTACTTTAATATTATGTTTCTCACAAAATTATTGTTGCCCCACTTTCATATTTACATAGCTCATGGGAAAAAACCTCAGCTTTCCAATGAAAATAAAAAAAAAATACCCAAAGGGGTAAAAATTGAAAATTAAGGGTTGATTTTGAAAAAAAGGGGTGAAAATTTTTTTAATTTAATTTCGTATACATTTTTGAAAAAAACGTGAAAAATGCATTAAAATTCATTATAGATAAATTAAAATCCATCAACTTTTGTCATAGTTATACGGATTTGAAAATGACAATGTTACCCTTAACGTCAAAACAAGGGCGGATCCAGAAGCCAATTTTGGGGGGGCGATTTGAAAAATATATATATACATATATAACATTAAAGAATATATGTCAAGCATATGAAAATAATGTAATTTGAATAACAGTATCACGTTGAATAACAATTTAATTCATAAAAAATTTAATCCTTAATTTAACCTTACTATTACAACATAAAATTTAGTCTATGTTTATAAGTTTTAGCATATCTATTGATAATTTGGTCCACATTCACTTCAATGTCATAATGAATATGCAGTATTGCAAGTCCGTTCAATCTTTTTTCAGTTGTCGTAGATCTCAAATAGGTTTTAAGTCTCTTAAAAGTTGAAAATGACCTTTCAGCACTTGCTCCACTTGAAGGCATTGTTAAAAAAATTTTAAAAAGGGTATGAAGAAGAGGATATATTTCAACATCACAACAGTTAAAAAATCGCATAGCACTAATGCTTGAATCATAATTTCTTCTTTCACATTGCATATGCCACATCTCTAATTCAGTGGTCAAATATATTTCTAAAATCTCTGGACATTCCTTAAAGAAAGTCGAATATCTGTTACAAAGTTTCTTCACAGCTTCTTTAGATAGTGTACTATCTGTTGATGTTACAGAATCAGGAAACAGAACTGAAAATAAATATAAATCCAAAGCTTCTGTTGAAAATCGATTTTTCAAATCTGTCATCACATTATCAAGAACAGGAATATAAACAGCTTGTCTGAAATAGGTTTCGGGATCATTTACAGGATAATTATCACGGTCTCTTTGAATTCTGGCTACACGTGGCATTTTAATTTCAACACCAATATCATTTGCGATGTTTTTAACTTCTTCAAAAAGACTCCTTTTTTCTTCATAATTTTCGCGTTTTCTCTGTAATAACTTTAAAGTATCTTGAACGATATCCTGCGCTGATTTAAGATCGATTTGCTTTTTTTGCAGGAAGTAGCTTAGGGATTGCGTGGTATTCAACACATCAGAAAGACAAACGACTGCAACTAAAAAGTTACTTTCACAAAGAACAATGTTTAAAGCATTTGCTTTTGACGACGTTTTCGAATCTTGCCATTGAGATACATGATTTAAGGTTTCAATTATTTTTGGAAGCAAAACACGAAATTGCAAAATTCCATAATGTCTCTCGATCCATCTTGTTTCACACAAGCCACATAATTGACCACCCATTACACAGACCTACAAATTTTAGACCCAGAAATCGGAATAGTCATTTCCCATGTAATTTTTCACGCTGAATCCAAAAATGACAGCAAAACTGCTCTATCACGTCCGGATTTTGAGATATTCTAACCTAAAAGCGTGAAAAAGGCCGTTGTTGGCAACATTCAATCATCTATAAAATCTCCAATAAATTTTTTTAAGCGTTGGTTCAAATTTCTAAAGAAAGTACTACTATTTGCCTTTTAAAATTTTCTTGGCCCGTTCAAATCCGATTTTTTTCACTTTAAGACTCATATGCGCAAGGAAAAAAAATTTGAAATTTAAAAAAATTAGGTTCAAGTCGCCTAAAAAGATTTTTGGGGTATTTACCCCCATTTTTTTCAAAATTTCATATTTTTTTAATCCTGCGTAAATGAGTCTTAAAGAGTACGATCCAAGGTTTAATTTAAGCATATATATATAGAAGTGTCTAGCACGTCTGGTTAAGGAATACAAAAATATTGACAACCCTCAAAACACTGTTTTTGGAGACTTTACCTCCACTTTATTCAAAATCCTGATGTGATACGCAATTTTGGAACCCGGATTCGGGTTCAGCACACAAAAATACATTGGAAACCACTCCGGTATAAATATATAAAAAAGTCTTACTTTGTAGACCTGTGTTATGATTGTTTATAAACGTTTTTAGGATTTAATTACACAAAAGTGATTATTTTATTTGATCATATTTAAATTTGAAAATCTTTGTTGGATGTCATAAAAAATGTCATTTGCTACAGAATTAATGTTTTTTTTAGCGAACACACGAATCTCAAGGGTGCCAATAATTTAAACAGTATGGCCATCTCACCTCGAAAAAACATGGCCATCTCTCCTAATGTCAGGAGACAAATTGACACAACTAAAATTTAAATAAATAAATAAATTTTTTGAATGAATATAAAGTTATGACAAAACTTGGGTCATGTACTTTACAAAAAAACATGAAATTCAAAATTATTCTACAAAATAACACAACGCCAGTGAGGAACGTAAACTCTTCACTTTTTTTCAGAACTACCCAGTGGGCAAAAAACCATGTTCGTTCTAAAAACGTTTTAAGAACGTTTTTAGAGCGTTTCATGTCTGCCAAATAATGTTTTGGAACATTATTCGAACATCCATGTTCTTAAAATGTTCCAGAACATTATTTGGCGGACACGAAACGTTCTAAAAACGTCCTTAAAACGTTTTTAGAACGAACATGGTTTTTTGCCCACTGGGTAGTCAAAATAACAAATCAGATTTTTACATACTTTTTCAATATTTTTCGTGAAGTTTTTTCTTATAATTGTGTTTTGCCATAAAACAAAGCAAATTAATGTTTAATAAGCGATACCTAGCAGCAAATTCTATAAAATATTTTAATTGGCCATATCTCCCGCATGGCCAACTCCCCCGGACTAATGAAAGTTAAAAAATCAAAAATTCACATTTTGGCTATAATATTTTGTGATTATTTAAATTTAAGTTTATAGATGAAATAATTGTATTCCTTGCTTGAAAACGAATCGATTGGTATATATACAGTTTACATTTGAAGTAAATTTAATAAATTAATGAAAGTAAAAAAAAAAATTCACATTTTAGCTGAAAACTTTTGTATTTATTTAAATTCAAGTTTAAATATAATATTTAAATTTAACTCAAATCTATAGGTACTCAAATGTTTATATTATTATATTATTTTTGTATGTTTATTTCAATGTTAATGCTTTCTCCACCGATGAAGCAAATTTTTTTGCTGATCGTAAAGAGGAAGCAAAATGTTCATGTAATGAATATCTGAATTTACAACTTGTTTTTTTAAATATTGTATGTCGTATAATATAGTTATTTTAACTATAGTCGACATATGGATATAATTTGTTTTAAGAATTTAATTTTCTATTCGTGTCTTATTTTTACTGCTTTAAAATTTTTCACATTTCTTAAATGTGCGATTCCAGGTGAGATTTTGAATTTTTCGGAGTAGGTTAACCGATTGCAATGAAACTTTGAAATTCTGTTATATATATAGTAAAACTAATCTTTAACGTAAGTTTCAGGTTAAAATATTTGTTAGTTTACGAGATTTGCAATAATAACAAAAAATTTTAAACTGCTATATCTTCCGTTCTATTAATCAGATTGAGGTCTACTTTTTTTTAAAATATCAATGAAAATGAGAGGAATAAATCTCTTTCAGAATAATTTTTTTAATAATTTTACAAAGAAATAATTAAAATTAAATAAGTTTAACTTGCAATTGTAGTTGGATTCCTTTGAAACATTAAAGAAAACACAGCTATTTAGATTATTTTAGCATTTAAGTGATTGAATTTTAGATTGTCGTTCGAAATTTATTCAATTATTAGTTAATAATTTTTTTCTTTGTAAAATTATAAAAAATTATTCTGAAAGAGATTTATTCCTCTCATTTTCATTGATATTTTAAAAAAAGGTAGACCTCAATCTGATTAATAGAACGGAAGATATAGCAGTTTAAAATTTTTTGTTATTATTGCAAATCTCGTAAACTAACAAATATTTTAACCTGAAATTAACGTTAAAGATTAGTCTTACTATATATATATATATATATATATATATATATATAACAAAATTCCAAAGTTTCATTGCAATCGGTTAACCTACTCCGAAAAAGTCAAAATCTCACCTGGAATAGCACATTTAATAAATGTGAAAAATTTTAAAGCAGTAAAAAAATAAGACACGTTTAAAAAATTAAATCCTTGAAACAAAATATATCGATATGTCGACAACAATAAAAATAAATATTTAATGACATACAATATTTAAAAAAATGAATAAAATTTTGCTTGATAAAGTCAAATATTAAAATATTTAACTGACCATCTTGTTTTCAATGCTTCATTTCTCTATCGGAGACAATTTGATGCAGTTGTTTTGCTTTACAAGTGGTCATTCACGGTGAGTATAATACTTCTATAGGTATAATAATTTTTTATTTTCATTAAACTTCTTAAAATGTACCTGTAATTGTTTCACAGTTATTTTATAAAAAATACAAGATTTTTTAATCTTATATTATAACTTATATCGTCTCTTCCAAATGGATCTATTTGGAAACATTAAAATTCCATCTGAAGGAAATTTTTACAATCTTATATTCGTTTTAATCACAGAAAAAGTTTATTTGACTTAACTAAAAAGTTTAATTTAGTCAAATGCAATAAATCATTAAGTTCATTCAAATAAAAGTATTCAATTGAATAATTTTGTCATGAATCACAACCAAACTTTTTTTTAACTGTATAGCAATGCATTTATTTCTTTGTTTCAAACAAATTTTTCTCTGTGAGCATTATTGTCGTACTAAACTTAAAGGATAAAAATTATACTAATTTTAAATTAATTCCACGCCAAATTATACGCCCATTTGCAATTGTATCTCAGATTTAAAAAAAAAATTTTTTTCCTTTAGTACTAATTGAGACTAGTTTTCCTAATTTTTTCAATTTTTTTTTTAAAAAGTCGTTCACGAGATATGAATTTTTCAAAATTTTAAAATTTTATAATGATTTTTTATTTTTCAATGCTCATAACTTCCTTCAAACTCCATAAATTTTAAAAGTGATTTTTTTATCATATGTATTTTTAAACGTACCCAGATAGCACGTAAGCTTGCCGCAAGCTTCAAATGTCCCACCTAACTCAAGCTTGCATGGTAAGCTTACCGAAAGATTGCAGTGTAAGGTTACTGCAAGATTGCACAGTAAGATTATCGCAAGCTTGCATAGTAAGCTTGCACGGTAAGCTTGTGACAAGGTTGCCAATAACATTTCCCAATCAGCACAGAAGTTTGCATTGAAAATGAGCACTATGCGCACTTACAATCACGAGCACTTACGGCTACGCAGTACATTTTTTTGACCTCCCAGGAACTGGTGCTCAATGTATGTACAAAAATAAATTTTCTGCCCCCAAAAAATTCTTTGTTATATTCCGCAAGATTGCACCAAGCTTGCGGCAAGTTTGCTGCAACCTTCTGTGCTGATTGGCAAGGTTATTATTTGGCAACCTTGCAAGCTTGCCATGAAAGTTAGCTTGGCAAGCTTGGTGCTATCTTGCGGAATATAACAAAGAATTTTTTGGGGGCAGGAAATTTATTTTTGTACATACATTGAGCACCAGTTCCTGGGAGGTCAAAAAAATTTACTGCGTAGCCGTAGGTGCTCGTGACTGCAAGTGCGCATAATGCGCATTTTCAATGCAAACTTCTGTGCTGATTGGGGAAGGTTATTTGCAACCTTGCCACAAGCTTACCGTGCAAGCTTAGTATGCAAGCCTGCGATAATCTTAACATGCAATCTTGCAGTAACCTTACACTGCAATCTTTCGGCAAGCTTACCATGCAAGCTTGGATTAGGTGGGATATTTGAAGCTTGCTGAAAGCTTGCCGTGTTCACTTAGCAATATTGCGTGGCAAACTTGCCGCAAGGTTGCTGCAGGTTTACGTGCTGTCTGGGTACATACTTTTCAAAAAAGAAATGAAATTTTTCTAAACAATATTACTATCCAATTTTTAAGTATTAAAGATAAAGTGTCATTTTTCTCAATTGACGAATTGATAGATCTTTTTCAAAATTTTCTGTTAAAAAATTTATTGCTTAATATTTACTCCTCTAATTTATAAAAAAAAATTAGAATGTAAAAAAAGAATTAGTGTTGATATATTTTAGAAAAAATTTATTGTTGTATATAAAAAATGTGAGTTGCAAGTTTTTTTCAATATTTTTTTTACCCAAAGACATACATTTAATAAATTTGAAAAATTTTAAAGCAGTAAAAATAAGACACGTGTAGAAAACTAAATCCTTGAAAAAAAATGTTTCGATATATCAACAACAGTTAAAAGAAATATTTAACGAAATATAACATAAAAAAACAATAAAATTTTACTTGATAAAGTCAAACGTTAAAATATTTAATATTATCCTTCTAACTTTTTTTTGCTTTATTTCTGTATCTACAAAAAAAATTAGTTGGAAATTTATTTAATATTTTCTTTTACAAAAGAAATTCATTTAATAATTGTGAAAAATTTTAAAGCAATAAAAAATAAGACACATTAAAAAAATTAAATTCTTGTAACAAAATATATCGAAATGTCGACAACAGTTAAAAAAATATTTAACGACATACAATATTAAAAAAATCAATAAAATTTTGCTCGATGAAGTTAAACGTTAAAATATTTATAATATTATATTTCTAACATTTTTTGCTTCATTTCTGCATCTACGAAAAAATGGAGTTGAAATTTTTAGAATTTACTGAATTTAAAACGATTTTTTTTAATTTCAGACAATTATTAAATTTTTAGAATTGAAACTAAGGCATCAAATAATTTAAAACAAAAATTGACTTTCAACAGTTTTTAATTGAAAAATACTTTCAAATAATTGACTTTTTTTATGAATATTATAAAAATAATTGAATTTTATAAGAGTTATAGTTGAAATTATTACATATCAGAAAGTTTTAGATGGAAAATTTTAGAAGGTTTTGAATTTAAAATTTTTGATAATTTTATTTTCTCATTTTTCTTATCTAAATTTTAAACAATTATTAAATTTCATAATATTTTTAATTACAAAATAGTTGTAATATAATTGAATTTAAGAAGAATTTCATTAAAATTATTGAATACTAGCAAAATTACACGCGCGCAAGCGCGCGTCCAACTTCAATTGCAATGGTTATTTTAAAATAATAATAATATTAATAATAATAAAAATAATAATAATAATAATAATTCTGCATCAGTGGAGTATTAAATTAATAATAGGTATATTTCTAATTTTCACGTTATCATTTATTTATACACAGAAAAAAATGAGTTTGATGTTATATAAATAAATAAATTAAAGTAAAAATTTTAAAATATAAATATTAAAATTTTAGAAATAAATATTTTTGATAAAGTCAATGTTCGATGAATTTTTTATAATCTTTCAAATTACAAAAAATTAGTTATGTTAAATATTTTTTTGTATTTTCTATAAATATTTCGTTGCAAATAAAAATTTTAAATTTATGTTTTTTTTCAAAAAATTTAATTAACTGATAATTAATAAATATTAAAAAATTATGTAATCAAAAAGAAATTTAAATTAACAGAAAATTATTAATTATATTTTAAAAAGTATTAAGCAATTAAAAAATATTTCAAATTTTGAAAAAATAAAACCTAAAAAAAATTTGTAATGGTTTAAACTTTAAACTTAAATTAAAAATTAAAATCAAATTGAAAATTTTTTAAAAAAGCAAACTATTTTTATATTGTTTATAGATAAAAAAATATAACAATTTAATAATTAATAATAATAAATTTGTGAATAATAATATATAATAAATAATAATGAATAATGAAAAAATAATGAAAGATAAATAATAATTATAAGTTAAAATGTTCTAATTATCTGTAATAATCATTATATTTAAAAAAATGTATATATAATATAATAAATTTATAAATAATAATAAAAATTATATTATAATTGAAACTTATTTTTCTATAAATACCAAGTAGGAAATATACTGGTGCTGCACACAATGAACAATATTTTTTTTTTACTTTAAACTGTCACTTAGTATATGACTTAATTAATGGCGATAAATAAAAATATCCGTCGTGTTAACCATAAAATATTACGAAATCAAGAATTGTCAAAATTTTAGAAAAACAAAAGGAACAAAATACGACTAACTTCAAGTGTGGACAGACGGAATGAATGAATGAATACGGAAATTATTAAAGTTAATAATTAATAATTAATTTAGAGAAGAATTTTAGTTAAAAATTTGTTAGATAATTATAATAAAAAAAATCTAAAGAAGATCAGCATTGTATACTAAAAAAGACATATTTTGTTTAAAAATTTATTGCAAAATGTAAATAAAAGCGCATCTTATTAAAATAAAGCCAAACATATTTAGAAAAAGACAAAAAGTCGTATAATTGGTCTTGTAACTATTGATTGAATACTTGACTCTATTTGTAATTAAATGCAACAAGGCCTGAACAGATGAATTAAATAATTTTTTAGAAAAGTATACCAAAAAATGGACGTCTGTGAAGTAGGCCTGAACATACCATGATATTAGTATTAGCAATTTACTATCTTTTAAGGTTCATTTAGGGCTAACAGGGCTTGAATATCCTAAATTTTAGGCTTTTAATTTATTTCTTAAATTAAGGTTCCTGCCAGCTTCACATTGAAGCTGGCCAGAACCACGCATACCTTCTTTATCACTATTCCTACTAAGCTCTAACTACAAGGAAAATTTAGGTCTCATTAAGGGCTATCAAAATATTCCTTAACCTAATTAAAACATTTTCATTTTTTTTAAAAATGTTCACATTGACACTTGTTCACACTTGACTTTATTATTTTTTTAAAATGAGTTTCCGACTAGTAGCAACGTAGGTCCATCAAACCAGCACCTCCACAATTACAATTTAGAAAACAGACTACACTAGATTTTTGGGCTTTTTAGGACTCCACAAAAAAATATTCCTGATTTTTAAAAATCACCTCTTCAACAAAAACAACCCCTTTTAATATCAGCAACTTACATTTTCCTATTTTTCGAATTAATAAATTCATCGGATTCGCTTGAAACTCGTTACTCGGGGGTTTTTTGGGTCGCTGATTACGAATCCGATGTCCGTTTTCAAAATTTCAAAATAGCGCATCCAATATGACCAACGAGTTTTACAAAAATTATACCTATTTGTTCGAAATTCATTACTTAGTGAACAAGAGTAAACCCCTAACCTTAAACGCAAGTGAAAACTTTGATCTATTTCCGCTTTTTTTTCTTTTTCTTACGTGTTCCAATATTTTTGGGCTCTTCAATATTGCGACTCTCAATTTTTGGGCTTATTCCCTAAAAATGAGTAGAGCCTAAAAATTTGAATGGTTGTTTTTGTGAAGCCCAAAAATATATGACCCGATTGAGAGAAAGAACTACAGGATTATGTTATGTTTTTTACTTCTGTTGTAGTTAAAAGGGTAGTTTTGGAAAATGGGTGAAGCCCAAAAATCGGGATGGATGTTTTTGAGAAGACTAAAAATATTTGATCCAATTGAAAAGAAGAACTACAGGATTATGTTATGTTTTTTACTTCTGTTTTAGTTAATAGGATAGTTTTTGAAAAATGGACGGAGTCCAAATATTACGATGGTTGTTTTTGAGGTGCTCACAAAAATAATTTAGATAACAGACTGCACTACATTTTTGGACTATGTAAAAACTAAAAATTTTAAAAATATCAAATACGCTATATTTTTGGGCTCCACTAAAAAAATATGCCCAATTTTTAAAACTCACCCATTCAACAAAAACAACTCCTTTTAAAATCAGTGAAGGTGTAAACTTGCCAATCAATGAACAGCGGAGAGTAGGGAGTTGTGCTCCAGGTTTTGTTTTTCGATCAAAACTATTACAGTAAAACCCCGTTTATCCGAGCTCGCTTTATCTGAGGTCTCGATTATCCGAGGTGGTGTCCCAGTAGGAAATTCTATATTATCTGAGTCTAGTCTACTTTATCCGAGTTATTTTTAATTTTAGTTTTTTATAAATATGAGTTTATTTTTAATAAATTTAAATTGTTTAAATTATTATAGAATATATACAATATTATTTTCCCGTATGTAATAAATAATAATTTTTTAAACAATAATAATGTTAAATTGTAATAACAATTCGGATTATCCGAATTTTCGCCTTATACGAGATAGGTCCGGTCCACATTAGCTCGGATAACCGGAGTCCTACTGTATTTAAATTTTTTTTTATTATTCTATTATATACAACAACAACAGTTAACAAATTTCCAAAAGCGACACCGACCCCGTGACCTCGACACCGTCCTTGGAAAATCTATTTTCACTTATTTTCAAATAACTCAAAATACTTTGCCATATGCTTTTAGAAAATCTTACATACTTTTTTTTATAAGTCTAAAAAATTTAGGGACTTAGAAAAAAATCGTTGATTTTTTTAGTTACTCTCTTTGATTTATTAATTTTTTATTATTATTTCTTTAACGTCGTTCTTTTATGTTCGAATAAAAACAAAAATCTAACTATATTTTTCATTTATTTTTAATACCTAATTTATCATTTACAAGTATGTACAGTTATAATATGTTTTAACTTATTTTTAACCGTTAAAATGTGTAGAGGTTCCTCCGCCAGTAAGAAACCTAACGCAGAAGTTGGCGTGGTTCTCATTGCGCCAGTAATCCCTCTTAACGCCATTGCTTGCAGTTGTTCAAGTTTCAATTTTACCGTTTTCCACTGGCTTCTAATCCACCAAACAATTGCTGCATGCAGAAACCTTGGCAACAGGACCATACGATAGAGCCACTGAACCATATCCGGTTTTAGACCCCAAGATGATCCAATAGCCCTTCTGCAAACCCAAAAAGCAGTGCAAAACCTACTATATTCATACTCTAAGTGCTTTTTCCAGATCAGCTTTTTATCCAGAATCACTCCTAGATATTTGACCGAGTCGGAAAAAGGCACTTCTCTCTCATAAAATACAGGTTTTCTCACAGTTGTGGTCCACTGTTGAAAATTTAAGAAAAAGACACATCTTTTAGAATATTCTTTATTTAAATTATGAAATGTGAAAAAGTAAGATAACTTACATAAAATAAAGAAATATTTAAGATAATAAAAGATTAATTTTAGGTAATTTAGATAAAATAAAATTATTTTAAAAATAATTGAATTAAGCTAAAAAATTAATTGCATTTACAGTGAATACAGATGTAAAAAGTCTCATTTCACTAAAGAAATTTAAATATTTAAATTGCTTAAAACATTCTAATTATTCATAAATAATGCAAAATAAAAAAGAGAGTGCGTATTAGCATTAAAAACTGTTAAATAATATGATGTGAGGCACAACTCCCTACTAACGCTGGAGTACCTCGAAAATTTATTAATAACAGCTAATTTTTATGCATTAAACATTGTGATCACTTTGAAAAAATTAGTGTGAATGACCTAAACATAAAGAGACAACAAAACTTTTAGAAACAAATTTTAACTCACTATCTGGAAAAACACGAAAAATGTTTCCAAAAATAACGAGTACAACTTAAAAAGTTAGTTTTTAACGAGAAAAGAATATGACAATAATTGAAATTAGTCATATTAATTTCCATATTAAAAATATTTAGCACGACTCCCCTCGAGGCACAACTCCCCACTCACCCCTATATTAATAATCTTCTCTTCCAAATTGATCAAAAACATTTACGTTTGACATAATTCTGTAAATCTTTCTTTTAATTGTGTCAACAAATTTTTTGGGCTCCTTAAAAACAGCAATCCCGAATTTTGTGATCCACCTAATCTTCAAAAAATACCCTTTTAAATAAAACAGAAGTAAAAAAACTAATATAATCCGGTAGTTCTTCCTCTAAATCGGGTCAAATATTTTTGGGCTCCCTAAAAACAACCATCCCAATTTTTGGGCTCCAATCATTTTCAAAAACTACTCTTTTAACTAAAACAGAATATTGGCACAAGTTAGAAGAAGAAAAAATAATTTTGCAAATAGATCAAAGTTTACTTTTGTTTTAAAGTTTAGGGGTGATTTTTAGATTTAGGGGTTAAGCCTAAAAATGAGAAGTGGTAATTTTGGAAAGCCTGAAAGTATTAAGACAGGTTATAAGAAAAAAAATTCTGCAAATAGATCGAAGTTTACTCTTTTGTTAAATTTTAGAGGTAATTTTTATATTTAGGGATGAAGCCCAAAAATGGAAAGATGTGATTTTGAAGAGCCCAAAATTATTAGGACAGGTTAGAAGAAAAAAACAAAGAAATTATGCAAATACTTCAAGGTTTTCCCTTATATTTAAGTTTAGGCGTGAAGCCCAAAATGAGAAGTGGTAGTTAAGGTTAGGAGTTTACTCTTGTTCACTAAGTAATGAGTTTCGAACGAATAGGTTTAATTTTTGTAAAACTCGTTGGTCATATAGGTTTCGCTATTTAAAATTTTTGAAAACGGACATCGGATTCGTAATCAGCGACGCTAAAAACCCCCGGAGTAACGTGTTTCAAGCGTATACGTTCAATTTTTTTAAACTTGTCCACCATATTGGATACGCCATTTTGAATTTTTGAAAACGGACTTTGGATTCGTAATCAGCGACCCTACAAACCCCCGAGTAATGAGTTTCAAGCGAATCCGATGAATTTATTAATTCGAAAAATAGGAAAATGTAAGTTGCTGATATTAAAAAGGGTTGTTTTTGTTGAAGAGGTGATTTTTAAAAATCAGGAATATTTTTTTGTGGAGCCCTAAAAAGCCCAAAAATCTAGTGTAGTCTGTTTTCTAAATTGTAATTGTGGAGGTACTGGTTTGATGGACCTACGTTGCTACTAGTCGGAAACTCATTTTAAAAAAATAATAAGGTCAAGTGTGAACAATTGTCAATGTGAACATTTTTTTAAAAAAATGAAAATGTTTTAATTAGATTAAGGAATATTTTGATAGCCCTTAATGAGACCTAAATTTTCCTTGTAGTTAGAGGTTAGTAGGAGTAGTGATAAAAAAGTTATGCGGGGTTCCAGCTTCAATGTGAAGCTGGCAGGAACCTTAATTTAAGAAATAAATTAGAACCTAAAATTTAAAGTGTGGAAGCCCAGTTAGCCTTAAATGAGCCCTAAAAGTTAGTGAATTGCTAATACTAATATGTATCATGCCCACATAGCACGACTTCTTGCTGGGAGGTTACTGTAACGATATCTGTAGGGTTTGTAAGGTTACCGTGTAAGCCTGCAGTAAACTTGAGGTCATCTTAAAACTTCCGCCTTACAGTAAGCTTACACAGTAAAGCTAAGGTAAGCTTACACAGTAAGGTCGTGGTAAGTTTACATGGTAAAGTTGTGGTAAGCTTACACGGTAAGGTAGTTGTAAGCTTCCTTTAAGGTTACTGTAAGGTTGATGTGAGGTTACTGTAAACATAGAATGTTGTTAATAAATAAAATTTATTAATATTTATGCGCAGTAGTTTTCTATGGCACATACGGCTGCGCAGTAACTTTTATTTGACAAACCCTATTGGGGTTCATAAAGTACTTTACCAAATATATAATTTTTTATACAAAAAAATTTATAATATAATATATATTATAATATAATTATTTTTAATATATTTTCATATTACTTTATATTAACAGTAACCTTACAGCAACCTTACAGTAACCTTACGGGAAGCTTACAACAACCTTACCGTGTAAGCTTACCACAACCTTACCATGTAAACTTACCACGACCTTACTGTGTAAGCTTACCTTAGCTTTACTGTGTAAGCTTACTGTAAGGCGGAAGTTTTAAGATGACCTCAAGTATACTGCAGGCTTACACGGTAACCTTACAAACCCTACAGATATCGTTACAGTAACCTCCAAGCCAGAAATCGTGCTATGTGGGTGGTATGTTTCGGCCTACTTCACAGACGTGAAAAATTGCTCTTTTTGAATTAGTTTGAGATCTCCATAAAATTCTTAAAATGTATACATATAATTTTTTAACGGTTACTTCATCAAAAAGTACAAGATTTTTTAAATTTATATTATTATTTATAACTTCCCTTCTAAATAGGTCTAATTTAAAAAATTATATTTTATCCGACCGCTTAACCGATCCTTGCATTAAAAAGCTCAATTAAACAAAAAGTAAAATTATTTCAGGTTTTCTATGGAAAAATTAAAACTTTACAACAGTGTAAAAATACAACAGCAACTGTAAAAACATTGAAAAATAAAAACAACAATAACCGAATCGGCTCATGATGAACGACACATCAGTTTTCGTACAACATTCATCGAATTTTCAGTTCCTATCTATTTGTCACTACATTACCACTCTCGGAGTTATCTTTTATAACAAAGGCCTAATTACGTTGAAGCAGCGAAATCAAACTGTCCCTGTACTCAATACTTATTTTCAATACCTTCATAATTCCAACAATGTATCCGAGAAAAAACTCCAACTTCTAAAAAATGTACTAATAGGAACTGATCTCTATGGTGGCGGCGAAAATGAAACACTCGATTTGAAATATGTAAATGAAACATACCAGTACATCTTAAACACTGCTCTCTTTTCTCACTATGGACATATTACCGGATATTTAGCAGGTATAATCAACAAGGCAGATAATACATCTTATTCCAAACTTATGAAAACCATAAAGCAGGAACTCTTTAACAATTACACCAGTATAGATTACTGTTTAAAAACAAACAAAAGCAAAAAACTCACTTTTTTGTCTGCTAAAAAAGTGTTTTTTGAATATATACTGCCAATATTTCCCGAGCCAGAAAATAAAGATATGAACATAATGGAAGTGGATTATTTATACGCAATGGCTGGTTTAAAAATTGTCAAATCCATACTTGGAGAAACTCTAAACGCTTCGTTTGGTGATTTAATTTCAATTACACGAGAGTTTGATTTACAAGAGGCTTACGGTAACGAAACTTATGAAATAATGTTAGCAGCTTTTTCAACACCGGCACTATTTTTTTACGCCTCTAAGGAAAAAGAAACATTCAGAGAGAAATATCAAACTTTGTTTAATGCAGAATTTTGGAATGAAGTTTATGAAAATTTATTTTCAAATATTAATTTAGAAATGAATAAAATTGAAAATCATTATTTTGAAAACAACCTTTATTACAAACTCGAAAAGGAAATAAAAGAATTAAAAAATCGAAGATTATTGGCAACAACTATACTAGAGAAACATTGTAACTATTCTGGTTTTAAAGAACATGAAAATGAATATGTGACAAACTATATGTCATATTATCATTTCTTTATAAAAATAAGTGTTCCTTCTGGTTGTTCCGTAAAAAATCTACCCGAATTGAAAGTTGTTTATGAGAAACAGTTTGAAAATGTAAGAAAGACAAAATATGAAATTGAAAAGATTGCAATAAGAAAAGTTTTAAATGACAGTAAAGTAATAGAAAAATTAGACTCAAAATCTATTGTTAGTGATGCAAAAGCGAAAGATTATCCAATGTACATGGCGAACATGCCACCTATGGCAAGTAAAATAAACCCCAAAGTATACCTACTGTTTGCAATTAAAGAAGAAGGAAAAACAGATTTTTATGCCATTATAGATAACGATAATGTTTTGTCATTACTCGTAAGAAGTGATAACAAACAAGAGTTTGGTAATGTAATTGCTAATGATCCATATACAGAAATGGAAATAAATATAATTGCCAATGATTTGAAATTCGCTCATGAAGATAGCGAAGCATTTATTGAAAGGATTGCCGAAATAAAGACAAGACAATTTGTAAATAAGCTAATGGTCGACTATAAAAATGAAACTACAAAAGAGAAGGTTTTTAATTTTCTAAAAATACTTGTACCATTTTACAATTGTATTGAAAGCGTAAAAGCGGATAGCAAAACTGGAGCCGCAATAAGCTGTCCTTCAGATGTTCTCACCTTACTTCCTGTAGAAAGTCTTGCCACAAAATACGCAACAAAAATGAGCGACAACTTTGTAATTGGATTAAGCGAAAAATATTTAATTAGAAGTACTTTTGCAAGTACAGCAAGTGCCAGTAGATTAACTTCATTATATCAAGTTTCAAAAGTGTTGGCGAGATCCGTTTCGCAGGAAATTTTTACCAAGCACCTGTTAAAAGATTTATCTATTACCTTCCTACGAGTTATAGATCCTGGAATTGAATCAATCAACAACTTAGGCAAGTTTGGCTACCAAAAATTGCACAAGATATATAACACTATGATTAAAAAAATTCCAAAAAATACAAATCTAAAATTGTTATTAACAACTGTGTTAAAAAAGCTTAATACGAATATGAAACTGTCAACATTTAATGGTCTGATACCAAAGGTTCTGAGAGACGAGAATAATTATAAACTCGTTCAATACTATTATCCGAACGGTGAAAATTTCTTTGGACCCACATGCATATCATCATTTGGAAATACTGCAGAACTAAGAACCATTGAAGGCAATCCGTTTCAAGTTCCCGTGTTGCCAACAAAAGATGACATAAACAAAATTTTCTATCGTGAATATATTCCAGCAACTACTGAAATTTCGAATGTGAAACTGGAAATGGGAGAAAATGATCTACTCCGAAGTGACTTACCTTATCTTAATGCAGATACGAAAATAATACCTACTTATAAAGTTATTCCCGAAACTTCAAAGGGATCTGGAGACCTTTATTCTAAGGAAAGTTTGACAAATATTGATGTGTCTGGAATGGAAAGACATGAGATTATTCGAAAACTTATTCCTTATCTTAATTTAGATGAAGACAGGAAAATAATAAAAGATTATATAGTTTATCATAATACGAATGAATGGAATAAGACGCCAATGAATCCAGATACGTCACAAGGAAACGTGCCAAGTGAATTACAAAGTGATAACATTCCGTCAACTTCAAGGCTATCTGAAGGATTGGTTCAAAGTAACTTCAAATCTACACTTTGGTATGGAGAAAATAATTATCGTGAAATGTTATTATCTTTAGAAGACTTAAAACCTAAAAATTGGGCTGATTTATACAAAAAGAAAGAAAGATTAATAATGTTACAAAAGAATATCGAGAAAATACGTTGGAATCAAGACAGGGTGTTTCATGAAATGCCAAAAGAACTATGGTTTAAACAAACATTAAACAGACCCTATATTGTTAAGTATTTGGAGCAAATGAAAGGACAGGATTTTTATTTCAATGATATTACCCTATTGACAGATATTCGTCCAAGTGAAATTAATCTTGTTAATAAAAAATCATACTCCTTAACAACAGAAATTCGTTATCACATGACAATTGATTCTCAATATGGACTTGTTGATTTGGCTGAATTTGATAAGAGTTGGAAAAACCAATTTGTTGTTTTTCCAGAACTCGAATTTCACGTAGTAAATGCTGAATTCAAAAATGGAAAGGATTTCTTACTTTTAGAACTAAAACAAAAGCCAATATTGAAATCAAATTGGCAAATACAAAGACTGCAGAATAGACTTTCACTGAATAATAAAGAAGTAAATACATATCCAAGAAGTGTAAATATCGAGAATGCGGCTAATCTTATCTCATTAAACATTCCTCTGCGTAGAGTAACTGAAAGGGAAAAATTCTTAAAAAGTTACATTTTAAGAATTGATCCAATTGAAACTCGTGTTCCTACTTATGAAATGTTGGCAGGTGATATAAATGCAGGTATAATACCTTCTGAAAGATTTAACGAATGGAAAATAACAAATCACATTTTTATTGATGATGTTCTATTTGAAGAATCTGCATATCAGGTTAAAAATTTGGAAATTGCAGAACAAACTATAAATTATATTTTTGATGAGACTCATTTACAGAATGTTGAAACTGTGTATGAAATGTATAAGTTACTTTCAATTTGGCAAAGTATGCGATTTGAGGATTATTATGTACTGTATTCACATTTGTCAAAAACTTTACCAAAAAATTTACATGCACAAAGATGTCTTTCAGCAGCACTAAACAGATTGGCCCTTAGACAGTGTGATAATAAATTTATTAAAATTCCAAACATACTTTATGGTGCTTGCCCAGTAAATAGCAAAATTTGGCAAGAAATGTTATCAATTAAAAAATTTCGTAAGAAATTGAAAGCAAATAATGTGCTTGTTTATTCTAATGCTGAAGATGCTATAAAAAATGTTCGCTTGACTACTGAATTAAACCTATTCCTATTGATTAAATATGAATTTAAAAATCCATCTGGAATAGTGTACATTGATCCTAATTATTTCGAAGTTCCAAAGGAAGTGTATTATATTCATGACACAATCAAATTGCGGAATTTCGGGAAAGAAATTACACCCGTTAATGGATTTGATTTTTTCACATTGGTATTGCAGGATGTTGAAATTACAAAAGAAGGACGAATGGTTAATTCGGTAAAAAAGTTAAATAAATTATTTTCAACTAATGATAAATTTTATATTAATCTATATCCACGAGAAAGTTTCAAAGTTATTGATTTTGGAAAATCGATGGAAACTGGATATCCCGGTAAGAAGCGAAGAATTGAAAAAAATTCAGAATCTGAATTCCTTTGAATTGGTGAATTTACGTTTTTATTCAATTCCTCGATGAAGCAAAAAAAAGTAAAAAAAAATCTATTCTTCTTAATTGACTTGGCCAAAATTTATACTCTAAATTATACATGTACTCTGACGCAGTCAATTGTAAAACATAGAAATGCCTCATTTATTCTCCACATTTTCTATTCCTCTAAATGCGCTCCAAATGGCCTGACATATAGTCAATTTATAGAAATAACCACATCTTCATCACTTTTCAAATTTCTTATTCCTTTCAATACGCTTTGGAAATTTGGACGCTGCGATTGAAAGGAATAGACATTTAAAATTTAGTCTCCAAACATTTCATTTTTTTCTATTCGCTTCCAAGAAGTTTGAAAATAAAAAACTTTGCGCATTAAGAAAAATAAGAAGTTTGAATTCTTTTCTATTGACTCATCTGTACTGGGAATAGAAAAAATGAGTATTCATTACTCAATCTTGGATTTTCCGACGAGTTGACTCTGAGACTCGAACCCTCGATCATCATAGCACTCAACCGCACTGAGAGCGCCTTAACGCGCTCGACCAGGGGAGGCTATGAAAATTTTTGAGAAAATTTCTCTTATAACGAACATATTAAACAGATACTTATATTATTTTGTAAAGTCATCAAACAGCTTTTCAGATGTTCATTATTACAAAAAGTATATTATATAGTATATATATTTTTATGAACATTAATAATATCAGTTAATAATTTTGTCAATTTAAATAGTTTTAAATGATTAATTGTGTTAATGAATAAAAATTACAAAATTTTTCCATCTTTTCAACACAAAAATGGAATAAGAATTTTAATACCTAATTTTAATGTGAAGTTTATTAACTTCGACATTTTAATTTAGAATGACATGGACATGAACTTAAATTTCAATCAAGTGAACTCTGCTTACATTCCAATTTTTTCGAAAATAAATTAAGTAACAATGTTTATATAGCAATAATTGAAAAGAATTCAGAGTTCCAATTCTTTTAAATGGGAGATATTACGTTTTCATTCAATTTCTCGATGAAGCAAAAAAAAGTAGAAAAATCAATTCTTCTTAATTGACTTGGCTAAAATTTATACTCTAAATTATACATATTCTTCTTAACAACTGACGCAGTCAATTGTAAAACATAGAAATGCCTCATTTATTATCCACATATTCTAATCTTCTAAATGCGCTCCAAAATGCGATATTTAAAATTTACTTTCCAAACATTTAATTTTTTTCTATTCGTTTCCAAAAGTTTGAAAATAAGAAACTTCGCGCATTAAGAAAAATAAGAAGCCTGAATTCTTTTCTATTGAGTTATCTCTACTGTGAATAGAAAAGAATTCATTTTGCTTCCTCGTGGAGGAAGCTATGTAGTCCTTTCGTTTATAAACTTTTTAAAAATGGTGAAAACAAATTTTCCTCTATATAGAAACATGTTATATGAGATCCTGATCAATTGTCCGGATGTATGTATGTGTGTGTGTATGTGTGTGTGGATCGTTTTTGTGAACACGATATCTTTAACAGGTTTTAATGGATTTGGATAAAATTTGGTAGGCTTATTTAACTCATTAATCTCTCAAAAATGACGAGAGGATTTTTAAAAATACCCCAAAAAAAAAATTTTATCGTCTTTTTTCCAAAAATTTTTTTTTAATTGAAAAAATTTTTAAATCGAAAAATTTAAGGTAATATATAATATAATCGTCTTCTTTATGTCAAGATGAATCGATTGATATATATAAAGTATAGATTTGATTGAAATTTAAAGAATTAAAGAAAGTTAAAAAATCAAAAATTCTCATTTTAGCTAAAAAATGATGTGTTTATTTAAATTCATGTTTATATATGAAATAATTTTATTCCCTGCATTGAAACGAATTGGTTGGTATATATAAAGTATAGATTTGATTTAAAATTTGAGAATTAATAAAAATTGAAAAATCGAAAATTCATATTTTAGCTAAAAAATTTTGTGTTTTTTTTAAATTCAAGTTGATGAATAAAGTAATTGTATATTCCTTGCATTAAAACGAATCGATTCGTATATATGTTACGGGAAAAGTCCGAAGTTGGTAAATGTGCACATTTACTGGTTAATGTGCACAATTACCAATGCAGTTGGTAAAAGTGAGAAATGTCTGTTTTAAATTAAAAATTTCGTACATTTACCAAGTAAATTGGTAATTGTGCACAATCACCAACAGAAATTGGAAAATGTACGAAATGTCTAAATTGAATCAAAGATTTCTCACTCGTACCAACTACCTTGGTAAATGTAGATAGTTTGTTTTGTTTATATTTCAATTAAATAGTAATCAAATGCCTATAAAGGAAACAGAATAATTAGAATAGAATGTTTATTCTGCTAACCTCAGTATTTCGTTTAGTTCGCTTTCGACAGTGAAATTGCGAGTATATTTTAAATTTTGCCTGTAAAAATGAGTGAAGAAATTGTAATTTCCGAAGTGAAAAAAAAATTTTATGAAATTGCAACAAAGATTATAGAAGGGAAAAAAATAATTCTGTTTATTTGTCGGAAGTAGAGTATAATAAGGTGTTGAAAGAAGTGTGTGATGCGAAATTAAAAATAAAAAAGAAAACGAGTGCTGATTTTCGACGTTTGCGTCGATATGACGTGATAACAATATAAATAAATAAATAAAACTTTTCCAATTTATTTTTTTGTAAATGTCAATAATAACGATTAAAGTTATAATATAAATAATAGCAGACAAAATTTTAAACCTTCAATATGTCCGGCACTTCTATTTACCCCTTTTTGTGGTAACTATCTACATTTACCAAGGTAGTTGGTACGAGTGAGAAATCTTTGATTCAATTTAGACATTTCGTACATTTTCCAATTTCTGTTGGTGATTGTGCACAATTACCAATTTACTTAGTAAATGTACGAAATTTTTAATTTAAAACAGACAATTCCCACTTTTACCAACTGCATTGGTAATTGTGCACATTAACCAGTAAATGTGCACATTTACCAACTTCGGGCTTTTACCGTAACATATATAAAGTTTATGTTACACTCAAAATTAATTAACATTTTCTTTATTTTTCAAAAAATTTAATTAATTTAAAACATTTTTAATTCGAAAGTTTTTAAATCAATCAATTGAATTGGACAAATTCATTGCTTCCTTCACGAGGAAGCGAATTTTTTGCTTCACATAATGAGGAAGCATAATGTTTATGAAATAAACATAAAGGACCCCCTTCTTGTTTTATATATTTTGATGTTTACTGAGGTATTGAGTAAAAACGTAAATTCACCCATTCAGAAGAATTGAAAATGATCAACTTATGTTTAATATACAATACAAAATTTCATTCTTTCTCTATTCTTCGCTTCTTACCGGGTAGTTAAATAATTTCATTCAGTACACTATTGTTTCACTTCCATTTTTACACACACTGAAAAAGTTCAGATTTACAGTAAAAATATTTGTTTATTCAACTTTTTTAAAAATGTCTTTAATTAGTCAATAAGTAAATATTAACTTATATTCTTTTAAAATCTTAAAATTTATATTCATTTTCTTTCGCTTCTTATAATATTTTTAAAAAAATTGAAATAGGTAATTAGGAATTATTAATATACTCGCCAGTTTTTTCATTCCTTTCAATACGCTTTTAGAAATCTGACGCAGTCGATTGCAAGGAATAGAAATATTTAATTCTTATTACAAAATTCCCATTCCTCTGAATACGGTCCTAAAAACTTGACTCAGGCGATTGCGAGGCATAGAAATACTGAATTTATACCCTAAATTTCCCATTCCTCTGAATATGCTCTTAAAAACCTGACGCAGTCAATTGCAAGGCATAAAGATACCTCATTTCGACGCCTGCCGTTCATATAATGCTTATTGAAACTGCAATGCAATATAAGTCTTATTCAAATTTTTGTGCCATATAAGTTTTATTGAAAGTTCAGTGCTATATGATTCTTATTCAAGTTTCCGTGCAGTACAATAATTGTATTGAATAAGAATTATATAGCACTGAACTTTCAATAAGACTTATATGGCACAAAAATTTAAATATGACTTATATTGCAAAAAAAATTGAATAAGACTTATATAGAATATTGCAGTTTCAATAAGCATTATATGAACGGGAGGCGTCGATTTAATCTAGAAATTTTCTATTCCGTAAATACGCTCCTGATGTTATGGTACAGTCAATTAAAAGGAATAGACATATCCACTTCACTCTCCAAATTTCTTATTCCTTTCAATGGGCTTCAGAAATTTTGATACTGTCGATTGAAAGGAATAGATATTTAAAATTTACTCTCCAAAAATTTAATTTTTCTCTATTCGCTACCAAAAATTTGAAAATATGAAACTTTGCGCATTAAGAAGAATAAGAAGTCTGAATTCTTTTCTACTGACTTACCTCTACTGGGAATAGAGAAGAATTCATTTTTCTGATATTTTGATGTTCAGTGAGGAATTGGGTAAAAACGTAAAACAGCCTATTCAGAAAAATTAAAAATTCTTAACTTCTGGTCTATGTATACAAACTTTCAATTTTTCTCTATTCCTCGCATCTTACCGGGAACCTATTGTTCAAGGAGAATTGGTAATTGATAATATTCCGTCAACTTCAAAACAATCTGGACAACTTACTTCGCAAGGAACTTCTCAGTAAAAAAAAATTAGGAGTAAGCGAAAAGAATTGGTGGTAACTTAAGCTGTATTCGGTTTGGCGAAAAAACTGAATTGGAACGTTACGGTGAATTATTTTTTTCTTACCATGAATTCTTTTCTTTTGAACATTTGAATTGACGTTTGTTTATTCGAGTTTACATTATAAATGAAAAGAATAAATGTTTCGAAGTCTAAAAAATCCGATTTGGAATAAGAAGTATATAATTTTTTAAAAAGAAATAAAAGTACCTTTGTTAAGGGTTTGGAGAATTTAAAAGAAAAAGTGTTTTATTTTAATGATCTTACTTTTTTGACAGATATTGCATCCAAAAAATTGTCAAATTTTGCCTTAGAGAACAAAGTACGTTTTCACATAACGATGAATTCTCAATTTCGATTTATTGATCTTTCTGAATTTCAGCATACTTTGAAAAACCAATAAATTTTATTTCCGGAAATTGAGTTTACTGTGGAGAATACTTATTACATTAAAAGAGAGCCTATTTTACAAATAGATCAAAAATAGTTCAAAAACCAATTAAGAAAGAGAAATGGATTAAAATTAGAGAAGAAAATTCAAAGTTACTTGACAATCTAGAAAAATATCAATTAAAAAGGTGCACAGATATTAAAGATGCTGCATACTCCAAATCCACTAGAATACCTTTACATAGATTGAGAGATTCGAAAAAATGTTAAAAGAATATATATTAAGATTAGGTTCCAGTGAATATACACTGTCTTATAAATCATTGGCAGAAGATATGTTTTCAGGAAACTCAATTGATAAAATTTATGGAAGCCTTAATATAAAAAATAACATTTTGATTGATGATGTGATGTTTGAATACTCTTTGTATGAAGTTAAAAATTTAGAATCTGCAGAGAGAACTGTTGAGAAAATAATTTGTAATATTTATATACAGGAGATTGCATTAAAATTATTGAAAATATTTAAAAATTAATCTGAAGTCTTGTATCTATTTGACTGAATGCTTGAGTATATCTCTAATTGAATGCAACAAGGCCCGAAACAATAAATGATTATTGTTGACTTATAGATAAAAAATATTCTATTCATTTAATGTTTTCATCATCGATTAACGTCAGAGAATATTAAATTTCTTTTAATATTTATTTTATTCGGAAAAACTGATATAGAATTCAGGGTGTCGATTATGTAATTTGATTTGACGTCAAAGTCAAATTTAATTCAACAAATTCATTGTTTTATTTAACTTAGACGTTAAATTAAAATTTAATTTTTTATTTCAATTTAACGTCGCATTCAAATTTATTTTTTTATAGCAATTTGACGTATTGCAATCAAAAAATAAATTTGACGTCAAAGTCAAATCAAATTATATAATCGACTCCCAGTAAAAATACAGAATTACACTCGATTAAAATGATTCATTTTATTAATAATATACCATCAGACGTTTCGACATCAACGTTAATGTCCTTTTCAGTGTAGATAATTAAATAATTTGTTGAAATAAAAATTCGTTAACATGTACTCTGACTTGATTCGGCGAGATGATTCTTTGGCACAAAAATAATTATCATTATAAGAGCATATAAAAAATAATAATCTGACTAATAGTTATGTATATTTTATATATTTATTGTAAATTATATATTTCTCATAATACATAAATTAACATAAGTTGTATTATTAATATTGTTTAATAAACATTCTATTATAGTATATTTCATAGTTTATGTATGTAATTTATACTAGACTTAATTAATCTAGTTTTCATCCCAATTTCATTTGAGTGTACGCTTCCAAGTCATTAAAACCGCAATGTACGAATATAATTTGCAAATTAATGTTAATATAATGCATTGTAACTTAAAACTATTTTCAATTCCAAATTAAATTTAACAATTTTATTGCATTAAAAAAAATTATTGTAAGAATCATATCATTAATGTGGCATGGCGCAAACCCTACTGTGTTAAAACAAAATTATGGCTATGTGCTACACTACAAAAAATATTTTTAAAAACATCTTATCAACAAGAACTAAAGCATCGAATGATTATTTTAAATTATTTAATTCTGTTCCATTTTATTTTAAGGTCTCCAAACCTGTATTTGATAAAATAAAAGTATTACTTGTTTTTTTATAATTTAATCCTTCGAGATTTGATTTAAAACGACCTGGTTCGGCATGATAAAAATGAATTACATCATTTAACTCAAATTTTTCCACCGCATTAATAAGCTTTGTACCACATGGGGGACAACCTAAAAATTTATACTCAAAAATTGATAAACCATTTCGTTCTAAACTGATCCAAAAATATACTTCTTGTTGAAAGTTCCCATGAATTTTTTTTTGCAATTGTTGTAATTCTATTGTCATGTTCTTGTAATTTATCAATATTGTTAAAAATTCCAAATCATTATAACCTAATGCATGAAATGAATATTTTAAATTATTTTCTATTTTGTGTGAAATTCCTTTTCCTTGTGATTTTGGAAGTGACACATCATTAGAATTGTTAGTTGACAATGGAAACCAGTTTTTGGTTTCAATTATCATCCGTAATGGAACATTTTTTGATGCGGATACCATAGGTACACAATCATAATTTGTTGTTAATGTATTTGTGCAATTTGTTTTTCCGGTAAGATTTAATTTGATTAATTTTTTTTCATGTTGTGGATAAGGGAAACAGAAAAACTTTAAATCTTCTATTTTGGAAGGTGTCTCTACCGTTAAGCTAAATGTTGTACCTTGTTTAATTATTATACCAAAATTAGTATTATCATTGAAGGTTTGATATTTAGTTCTTTGATTGGTCAGTGATCCTGAATTATCTCGAACTAAAGGCTCGATAGCTCGTGCAGTTAGCTAAAAGATGAATTTATAGTTAAATGAAAAATGTATGTGGTGATGAGGCACATTTATCTTTTAATTAATATTTTAAAAACTTACTGTCGAATTCCATAGCAGTGTAGGCTGTGAAATTGTACTCGACACAAATATTAGAAGCAATTTTATTAATATTAACGAAATCATGATTTACTATTTCACGAGTGACTACTTGTTTGACAACTTTGATAAAAAATTAGTTAACTTTTACTTTTTATATATTTTTTACAGTTTACATAGGTGTGAAAATCGGCAGAATTTTTATAATCGATGACGTTAATCAATGACGTTAATCGATGACGATAATATTAAATCAATAGAACTTTTTTGGCATAATTCAACAATAATATATAGTTGCTATTGCGTCTATTTGTGTTCTTAATAATAAATTAGAATAAAAAAAATGTCTTTTTATAAAAAATAATAGACGCAAGTAACCATTTCTATAGTTTTTATTGTTTATAAAAATAAAATAATTGTCGAATTAATTTAAGACTTTGTTTTAATCGTGAATTTTTGTCATTGCGTTTCGTAAATTACAATCATAAATATTTCATGTTTATCACTATGTATATTTTATTATCTTTATTTTATGCCCTAAACGAAATAAATCAAATTAATATTTGATGAACTGCGAATTCCACAAATTTGAAAAACTTGATTTTGAGAAAAACGCATTTATTGTTTCCATTTGTAGAATATTAAAATTCTAATATTATATTAAAAAATCTTAATTTTACTTTAGAACTAACATATTACATACTTAAAGAAAATTTAAAAACACATTGATTGACCTATTTGCAAAGCAAGTTTTGTTGAAATACATATATCATAATTTTCTAATTAAATCTCTATGTATAACCTTTTATCTAACATTTTCTCTTTTTTTTGTTCAATAAAATATTTATTTTAATAGGTACCTTTAAAACTTATTTTTATAATATAATTTAACTCATTTTTATAAAAACTATTAGTTCTACTTTCTGATAGTATAATTAATACAATTTTTAAATTTAATTGAGGAATTTTTTAATTATACAGGGTAGATAAAAAGTAAGTAATTAATTTTTGGAAAAGAATTTTTTCTCCTAAAAAAGATAGAAAAATTGACGAAAAATTATTTATTTTGTCAATTTTTTTTAAATGTTTCTTTTTTTTAATTACTTTTAATTTACAAAAAAAAATTTACTAATCGGTGTCTGTGGATAATTTTTTTTGTTTAAATAAATTAAAGAACAATTTGGAAAATATATTGTGTAATAATAATTGTTACTCCAAAAGACTACAACTATTCCCAAGTAGCACGATATATCAACCAGATGTCACGGTGATATCACCGGGGAATGTCACCGTGACAACAGGAAAATGTCAAAATGTCCGCCTTACGGTGATATCACACGGTGACATCGAGGTGATATCACAGTCATATCACGGTGATATCATGGTGATATCACCGTAATATCATGTTGATATTTTACAGGGACTTAAAATTTTTAAAAAATTATTATTATTTTATTTTTATTTATTATTATTTTTTAAATTATTAAAAATTATAAGTCCCTGTAAAATATCAAGATGATATCACCTTGATGTCACCGTGATATGACTGTGATATCACCTTGATGTCACCATGATATCACCTCGATGTCACCGTGTGATATCACCGTAAGGCGGACATTTTGACATTTTCCTGATGTCACGGTGACATTCCCCGGTGATATCACCGTGACATCTGGTTGATATATCGTGCTACTTGGGTTGGCAGTTTGCTCTAAGCCCATTAATATCCATCCATTTTCTTTCATTTCCATTAAATATTTTGATAAATCATATTGTTTCACCTGAAAAATTAAATATAAAAATGAATTTTAATTTGAAGAGAAAATTCAAAAAGATAAATTAAAAAATGAATAATTATGCCTAATAAAAATAATGATAATAATGAAATTAGAAAATCGTAAGTAAAGGTTAAAAAAAATTAAGTAATAAAAAAAAGCGGGAAAAATTAATAATAGCTACCCAGATAACCAAGCGTACTAATCGTTATTTACGAGTACGGAGTACCAGTATTATACTAGTTTTATACAAGTACAAAATAAATATGGGATGTTCCACGTCAAGCGGACCAAAGCTCTGCCCAAAACTATACGCAATATAAATAAACTTATAATATATGAAAATGTTCGTACACATGTAAAGTTTCAAAAAATGAGTGGCAAATTAAAAAATTTATAATAATGCTTTTGTTATAACAATTATAAACCATCATAAATGGAAATGCGAAAGTAAAAAATTTCTCATTTAAAGACAAAAATTTTAAATTCTAAAGTCATAGTTGTTTTTAATGTTTTCGGTGTCGCTGATTACGAATCTAATGTCAGAATTGAAAAATTCAAAATGGCGGATCCAATATAGCGGACGAAATTTAAAAAAATATTCCAATTCGCTTGAAACTTGTTACTCGGAGGTTTTTAGGGTCGCTGATTACGAATCTGATGTAAAAAATAAGAAATTTAAAATGGTGGACTAAAAAAAACTATTAGAAATGTTTTAAACTTGCTACTCTGAGCTTTTTAAGTTGCTGATCACGAATTTGTTACGAGAGATTAAAGAAAAAAATATTAATAAAAAAATCATTTGTATGGATCTTGTAAATTATTGGTTTTCGTATTCAAAATATTTTTTGCAGTTACTCATTACTACTCTAGTATTGGATAACTGCGAGTGGTGTGGTTGCATTTGAGTACCTAAATACTACTAGCTTCTTGTCTGGAGTAACTATGAATGAGTGTGCTGATTGGATTTTTGTAACAGAAGGAGCTTTGGAAAATCTTTTATTATATGAACGCTTAATTTTTTCATGGTCTTGTTTTGTATAATAGATAAATCGTGTTGTTTTAATGTGCTCTCTAGCCCATGTAAATAGACTAGTGTCATTCAAAATAGCATCGAATCGATTGGAAATATACAAAGTATAGATTTGATTGACATTTGTCACCGTCCACGACAAAACAAGGCTTAGCTCCCAAAAAATCAATTTTGAGTTTTTGATGCTAATCGATAAATTTTAAGTTGCTCTTTCACATGCAAAAGTCAGAAATTATTTATGTCAATTACCTTTGACACTATAACGTTCTAAAGACGTGCATGTCAAGCGTGTTCCTTGTTTCTGCTTCTATTTCAATCGCTTGCCCTGTGAAATTTACTTTTGGAAGCTAAGCCTTGTTTCATCGTGGACGGTCACATTTAAAGAATTAATGAATGTTAAGAAATCAAAAGGACCTCGCACAAAATACATTAAAAATCCATTTCGGTCAAATTGTCTGTAACTTTGGGAAAATTAAGTTCAAGTGATTCTGAATAAAAGCTCTTTGGGACATACCCCCCCCCTTCCCGGGTCCGTTTACCCGCTAGAGCTATTTGAAGTTCGAGAGAAAAATTACTTAGACGTCGGTTTTGCCCAGAAAAATTCAATCTATGTTTGTACATGTATAAACATGTACATGTTGTACATGTACATGTATGCATGTATAAACATGCATACAGGTATATATATATATATATATGCATGTTTTATTTATTTTGAGACTTAAAAATTGACTTGATACTTGAATCAAGACTTGCGACTTAATAATTGTGACTTAAAACATAAGAATTAAGACTTGAAAACTTACCTTGTGATTTGTGTCCTGATATTGGGACTTTAGACTCGAGACTTAATGCTCAACAAGGCGACATGACTTAGAACTTGAGAATTGAGACTTTATATGTGAGACTGTAGACTTGACTGGAGAGTTAACACATAGCAAGTGAAAAATTGTACTTAGAACTTGAAACTTAAGTTTTGAGTTTTAAGATATTAGATTTTAGACTTTAGAACTAGCTATAAATAATTTAGGCTTGACTTAGGAATTAAAACTTGTACACATAAGTAGGATATGAGACTAAAAAGATGTACGACTGGAAGTTTGTGAATTGATAAACTTATTTATTGTCACTAATTGTATACATATCTACATCTAAAATGTGATTATTTCTTATTTTAAAATAAATTGACTTTTCATTAATATATGGTATGATTATTTTTATTATTGTAAATAACACAACATGTGAACATAATATTGACGCACTTTATAAAAAATTAACATTTGATATTTTGAAAAGTAACACTTTATATTTTGAAATCTGAGTTTTATACTTTAGAGTTGAGACTTTTAACTTAACTTTTAAACTTAAGAAATGATACTTTAAACTTAACTTAAAAGTTTAGACTTCTTAGACTTTAGACATCCAACTTAATAAAACTTGACTTGTAAACCTTAAACACAGAAGAATACTGATTATGTGCTGTTTAAAAAGATTAAAGTAGGATTTACTTATATTGATAGCTTTTTATCGAGATCGAATTTTGCATAACTCTCATGACTTACCTTTCATACGTCCACTACTTCGATTACTTCATTGCGATTAATATTCATGGCAGCATCCTGTATACTTCGTAATACTTTAAGCGACGGATACTTCACATTTGTCTCATGTCGAGCGTATCCCAAGAACCATAGAACGCAAGTTGCATGAGAACATGCACCCAATGTTCTCGCACCAGCTTTACATGTACAGTAGTACCCGAAAATAGGTTTGTTTTCTTCATTTTGAATCGCTTCATCATCAAATTCTGTATTGAATGAAATCCAGATTTGATAATGCTTATTATTTCTAAAGCGAGAGTAAATTCGAATTCGAAGAAAACCTTCCTCATTAGTGTTTTGGTGAATTTCGATTTCTTGTTCTAACTCGTCTATTTCGTCTTCTGCAGCTATCAAGCTAGAGTCTTGTACGTAAGAGGGTGAAAGATTTAAATGATAAGTTCCAATAGTCAAACCTGTCAAATAGGCGAGAGATAATCGAGGAAATAGTGGTAAATGATCTCCGGTTAATGAGACCTATCTACCTCTGTTTCTTCTAGGATTCTCCAATTCTACTCTCGCTTGCACATTATTTGCTTCCTGACTTTGAATCAGTATGTTCTGAGCCATTTGTGCATCTGCACCATTCATTGTTATTGGGCCGTAATATTTATTAATAATTGCTCCTGCAATTCTGAGAAAATCCTTTAAATAAGGCAAGTGAGAAGTGGATATTACTCGAGAAAAGAATTTAAAAATGTTTTTTAGATGCCCATTCCGCGCCTCCACTATCCATCTGGTTTTCGTTATAATACGCGATTCATTTGCTTCTTGGGTGGAAAACTGACTCTGATTTGGGAGTAGCAAAGGTGGCATCTTAACATTAATTCCTTCTCTTCGAAGAAATGCAATTGAATCTCTGTAACCACGATCAACCATGAAAATGTCCTCTCGTTCAAGCCAATCGCGCATACCATTCATATCCCTTTGAAATTCGCTTAGCAGGATGTTTGCGTCATTGTTTCGTGCATTAGAAAAATAAGGCCCTTGAATATCCAGGATGTATCCATCAGGGCCTACTAACATCGATGGTTTCAGTAAATGTTTTTTTTTTATGCACGCAATACGATTGACGCAATACTTTGAAACAGGAGCTCTTCTCAATATCCAGATAAGTGCAATCAGCGTATATAATAACTTTTGGATTTTGAGGTTCTTCATTATACAAGTGA